CGCGGTAGCCTAGGTAGCGACCATCCAATTCACGATTAAAAAGCTTCAATTCTAACTAGAACCAAGTTTACTTTTATGTCATTGTAAGGTTTTGTCAGTGAGTGGCAAGTTAATTAGGAAATAATCTTGTAAAACTCTTCTGCCCGAACAACTTAAATTACAAAGCTCTGTAAAGCTTCATAAAGCTCGAGTGCTAAGACTTAGTAAGCTTTCTAATAATAACTTGTAACAACATGTTATATCGTTAGGAAAACACTTTCTAGATACATATAAAATATATTTTTCAAACATAAAATAGGCTAAGAATAGCTCAACACCACACCTGTACCCATATTCTGGTCTTCTAGTGTAGAGTAATTTCAATACCCATAGCAGAGTATTATGATCTACCAACATAGAGTAATCTCAATACGTATGGCATAATAATTAATGTCTACCAGAATAGAGTAATCTCAATCTACACAACAAAATAATTATCTCAATGCGTGAAATTAAATGATCCCAAAGACCTTTCTATTTATGAGTATATTATAAAAACACATTCATTAACATTCTAAGTAGTCACTTTGGTACAATAATATGGTAGTTTGAAAATTACGTCACCATAAATCTCGTAATGTATTCTAAAATTATTCTTTTCTTTCTTCTAAAAACTTTTCTAAGTTCTAAGACAAGTTTTAAGGTCAATACATCGGTATTGAAACTTAAAATCTATCACAATATAGATTATAATTAAAAAAAGAATTACTACATTTTACCGTTTGCGTTTTTAGTAAATTACAAATTTAGTCTCTATATCGTTTGGACATATTTTCAATTTGGATCCTATAAATTTAAATCTTTCAATTTTGTTGCAATAGTTTGGGATCGTAATTTTCAAGTTTTTTTTTTTTTTTTGCATGTTTCAACAAAGGTCAGAAATCGTCTTTTTAGTTACCGTATTGACACATTTTTATACGTGACAATGAGTTAATATTCTAAATGAGCATTTACAGTTAAGTACAAAATAGATAGAACTAGATAGATTTATCTGGTCGATAAAAGTTCAACATTTGGCGATAATTTGAAAAGTTTTTCTTTTTTTAGTACAACGTGTAGAGTGGGAATATTTGATAAGTTATAACCAAAGCATAGTAACAAAAGTGAAACTCGTAAAATCATATGATCAATATTGAAATAACTAAGCCATAATTATAAAGATTAAACTGAAACATTTAAAACTATAAAAGCTAAAGTAAAATTATTCCAAAATTATACGAGGTAGAATTTGTACTTTAAACTTTATATTTTTTATTTGTAAAAATAATGAATTAATAGGCAATTGACCACGGATAATATACAAGACAACTAAGTTCTGAAATGGTATTAAGCTCCATTTTTTTTTAATATTGAAAATAATGAATCTGAATCTTTTGGTATAATCTTTCTAATCTTACATTTGTGTAGTAAGTCTTTGGGAAGAATCTTTTGAAATAACCCTTATTATAAAACATTTTCAATATTACTCCGTATTCTTATATACTTATATTAGTTAAACTAACATTTTTAATCCACTCCAAAGGTTTGCATGAAAAAAAAATCTTTAAAATTTTAGAAAATGGATGACGAAAGCTTCTTAAATTGCATAGTACTAAAAAAGAGCCTTTTAAATTTCACCGCAAGGATTTTTTTTTCCTTTTTTGCAATATCCACAAACTTAGTATATAATGGAGCATTTAAATTTATATTAATTTCAAAAGAAAATTTCAATTTATTACCCTTTTTTTTTATAAAAGTTTTATTTGATTCTTTAGGCTAATGTTAGCATTTTAAATGTATTAATTTAAAATTGGGGGTACTCTCATAATATTTTCAAAATATTTGAATTTATATGATATTTATTTACCCATTTAATTTATGTAACATGAACATAATTCAACTTGCTTGTTAAATCATATATTTCTTAATATAATGTTGGGGTTCGAACCTCTAACCTACGTGTGGTTGAACTAAAAAAACTATTTTTTTAATGATACTTATTGTTAGTATATTTTAAAACTTTTATTTGATTTTCATGAATTATAATAAATTGTTAAGTAAAAAGATGATAGTTTAGAATTTAAATTAAGTATATAATTAAAAATATCTTTTTATAAATGTTAATCGTCCCAATCATATTAGTGAAAATGTTTATAATACTTTTTGAAATAGAGTAGAAAAAAGTGGTTATTCCTAGAGATTCTCTCGAAAGGCTTGTCATGCATAATGCCTCTAAATTCACACCACACAGTGTTTTATTGGGATTTAGGAATTCACATGCATTGTCTCAAATATTGTACACATGAAGGAAACATGGCTAACTTAGTTGTCATGTATATCTCCCGTGGTTAATTTCCCATTCATATACAAAAGTTAATTAGGCCAAATTTAACTCAATTGGTTAACGCATTTATCTCCGATCATAAGGTTGTAAGTTCAAATCTTGAATCCTATATGTTGTTAAATTAAACATGTATGCATATAAATGTTAATTAGAGTACAAGTTTTGTCCTATTGGTGTATAGTTTCATTTTAATCTCCTTAATTTTTAAAGTTTCAATCTAGTATTTATAGTTTGAGTTTAGTTTCAATCTTTACTCGGTTATAAATTTTAAATTTAGTTCCTATAATTTGGCTAAACTTCACAAATCATCTATAAATTGTATTTTATGATCTAAACAAAAACCTATGTATTTTAAACTCAATTATAAACCCAAATACAATTAACTACATACAAACAAATTTTTTTCCCTATCATTACAACAACATATTTGAACTCATGACTTTTTAATTGGAGATATGTCTTAATCAGTTGAGCTAGGTTAGGTTGACATCAAATACACATTGTCAGGTTAAATTAAAAAAAAAACCATGCTGAAAGGATTTAAATTTTTAATATTATTGTTACCAAATTGAAATTAAGCTCAAACTATAGGAACCAAATTAAAACTTTTAAAACCCTGTAAATCAAATTGAAACTACGCCCAAACTATGTGAATCAAATTTGTAATTTAACCCAACTATAAATGGTGCATATTAAATACAAAACAAATCAAAGTAATCCATGTACAATTATAAAATATTAATGTTGCTCAAGGTAAATTAAAAAAAAACACAAAATTTTAAGTATAATTACTTTTTCAATTATGGGCAAGTTATTCATTATATAATTATTAACCCTTCAACTTGTCTAAGAAGCCTACAATCTCACATATTTCACTCTCTCTCATTCTTCATTTTATTAACGATGTCAAATTAACCTATAACTTGCTTTCTCTTTCTCCTCGTACTCTTGCCAAATCAACTTCATTTGACAAAAGCCAGCACGAATAAATTATAACCAAATCATAGTAACCAAAATGAAATTCGTAAAATCTTAGAATCACAACTCAAATAACTAGCCAAAATTATAAAGGCTAAATTCAAACAATAAAAACTAAAATAAAACTATTCCCAAATTAGACATGCAAAATTGTACTGACCTTTATATTTTAAATTTGTTAAAATAATGTATTAATGAGCAATTAACCAATGTACCTATACACAAGACAACTAAGTTTTGAAATGGTATTAAATTTCTTCCACTTTTTATTTTTGTGTTATAATAATATTGAAAATAATGGATCTGAAATGGTATTAACTTTCTTCCACTTTTTATTTTTGTGTTATAATAATATTGAAAATAATGGATCTGAGAATCTTTCCCACCTTACATTTGTTTGATAGGCCTTGAGAAGAATATTTTGAAATAATTCTTATTTGTCTTCTCTATCTCTAAAATATTATTATTAAAAGAATTTTCTATATTAACCGGTATTTTCATGTACTTATTTGAGTTAAATTAACATTTTTAATAAAGTTCAAAGGATTAGATGAAAAAAAAGTCTTTAAAATTTTAGGAAACCAAAGACGCAAGCTTCTTTACTTCCATCATACTCAAACAAAAAGCCTTTTAAATTCCTAAGAATTTTTTTTTCTTTTTTGGCAAAATCCACAAACTTATCAATCTGTGTTAAAATTTATATTAATTTCAAAACAAAATTTCCAACTATTACCTATTAATATTCATGGGTTCCATCTCAAAACCAATTGGCAATGAGAGGAGTAGTCCATGTCTATTATAAACCATTGTTAAGTCCCTTTAATGTGAGATCCTTAACATGCCCCTCAAGATGACGCCTCTTTTGGGTTCACCAATCTTCGATCGGATCCCATTTTGGACCGAATGCTCGTTTGAGCTTGTGGGCTCTGATACCATATTAATATTCATGGGATTTCATCTCAAAACCAATTGTTAATGAGAGGAGTAGCCCATGTCTATTATAGGTTTGGTTCCTTTCTTCATGCTTACCAACGTCTCATTGTGATGTATGACATCTTTGCTTTGCTTTTCTTTCTTGACTTTAACAACTTATTTATTTATTTAATTTATTTTCACAAGACCAAAATTGACTTTTTAAGTATAAAGATTGAAGTATACAAGAATTTAAAATTGGTCGGAAGAAAATAAGATTTAAACTTAAAAAAAAAAAATTATTTCGTTTATTTTAGTCGTCCCTAGTATTATCAATATTTTTTAAGTTTAATCGGTTTAAAAAGTTTCAATTTAATTCACTTACATTTTTACATTTTCTTTCAATTATATCATTGTCATCGATGGAAGTTAAAATTTTTTATGATAAACTTACCTGACATTACAAAAATAAGAGAGAATTATTTGACCATTACTCATCATTATTCCTAATAATAGGTGAGAAAAGTTCAAAGTGGTAGAAATTTAGACTTTTTATTTTTCAAATGGCTTAATTTCTCCTCTAAATTTATGATAACTTACTAAGTATTATGTGGTTTAAATTTATCGGTTTAAACAAACTACAGTCCAACAAAACTGTATATCCTCAAATCCAGGTTCCAAATTAGTTAATTGTGAACGAAATCCCATTGATAATTAAGCTCAAGTGCTTCAGGAATAGGCCATGAAAGGGGAAGACAGCGTGAGAGAGGGGAGTGATTGGGATCTGGCTCGATGTTGGAATTCCAGCATTGACATTGAAGCAGCCGAAAGAGGTGAAGAGTTGATGAACAAGAAGAAAGCATTTTGAATTTCACCCAAGTTTGTGTTAAAGTTAATTGAGTTTCAGGTTTCTGAATCCGTTGATCTTTGGCGACTATCCGAGCTCCATGAGAAAAACAAGGTCTCCCCTGGTTCTGTTTCTTGTTTATGCAGCATTCAAAGCATTGGAGAAAGGGTAGGGTGCAGTGCAGCTCCTGTGAAATCTGGTCAATCTGAAAGGATATTTCGTTGGATAATTGGGAGTGGACGGCTGGTTTCAGTTCAAGGTTTGGCCTTTACTATGTCTGATGAAGGAATCATTAAAAACAGATTAAGAAGAAAAGTAAGAACAAAAAAAGGTCAATAAAAACATATTCACCTGTCAATATGATCCATTATTTCTAGGTTTCCATAGATCAGACTTAAAAGAAACTACCTCTTTTTCATGATAGGATCTTCAACTTTGCAGTGTCCTCTAGGAGGTCCTTCAATTACGTAACCTTGTGTTTAATAGGTTGTCTCAGGAAATAATATTACATACAACCTTAATAAAGTTTTAGGAATCAAACTCTGCAATTTTACTTCATAATTATTAGTAATTTACTTTGATATGGTTTGTAATTTTCATATTTTTGGAGATACAATTTCTACGAGAGAAATATTTCAAACAAACGATTCCAAAAGTAAGAGTGCAGGAAGGAATGATGATAAAGAATGAAACCGCGACAATTGCATGGAGATGAAATAAATAGAATTCATATCTGTTTATTGGAAAATGTTTGAGTTGTAATTCATTTATTTCATCTCACAATGTTACAACATCACATATAACTTTTTTTTTTTTTTTTGGGAAAAGGTATTTGCACGGTACGTTACAGACATCTTAACACTATTATCTGAAGAACATCGAAAGAAAATCCTTCACTATGCCTTCCGTCATCCGGTAAGAAAAGTTGGCTAATTAGAGCTCGTTTAGTAGTGTTTCTCTAGTCAAGTTCTAATCCCACTATATTTCGATAAAAATTAAGACTTTCTATTTTCTTATGGAAGATTTGTCTGTCATATTGTTTTTTCTTTAAATATTTACTTCGTTATGTTGTGTCATTTTCTTTTGTGAAGTTTGAAAACAGTGGAAAGCTCTCTCATTTTTACTTATTTTTAGGTTGCTCGTGGTATATTAGAAAACTCGAAGGATGAGATTAACGTTCACCTTATTTTTATACTAACATTGCATACGAAGATATTTTTTGAAGGTATATATTGTTTAATTTTATATCACTTTTTATTCTTGTTTATTTTGGCATTTTCATTCCATTTCTCATACTTCATTGTTGTAATAGTTGAAAATCTATGAGACATTTTTTAAAGCTCCTTAACTAATACTATACTCTGAAAGCTTACCAATCAAACAAATAATTTAAAAAAATTCCCAATTGTAGTATTATTAAATTGTATATAAAAGTTAATTACAGCACGAACTATTTATAAGTGAAGAATTTTATATGAAACTTCAAAAGTTAATTATTTCAAACATATAATCATAGAATTTATGATTTTGTCCCTTTTTAAAAGACATATATAGGAATATAGAGTTATATAAAAAAATAGTTGTGTTGAAATAAAAAACCCACTGACAGAGAGGTGCGGGCGGCATGCTGGCGACTAAGTCAATGAAATTATTTCACAACTTATGTTTTAATTATTAATATAGATTACAAAATTGAGGAGGCTCGAACCACCTCATGTGAAACTTTATTTTATTTGGATTATATATATACGACTATAACATATTAGATCTTGAAACAATGATAGACAACAAAAAAAACCAGTCTTATGGACCCTAGTTTTTGAAAATTTACTTGTATAATAGCTACAGGCAATATGTGTGATTGTGTCATACTTGAAAGAGAGTGTGTAGCGGGATAGGATAGAAATTTGATCATAAAAAGAGACCCAAATGTAGAGTGTTAGGAAATGAGGAGTTAAAAACCCAAATTTAGGTATCTCATTTTCTTTATATGTATCCACAATTAGGTGACTCAATCTTTATAGGCCCTTAATTACCACACAAACTATAAATATAAATTTAGTTTGCACAACCTCATCATTACCTAAGTTACCATGACAACACCAAAAACAATTCTCTATTGCTGAATCACAAACTTTTGACAGTTTTTTGTTTGTTCAACAATGACCACCAGTTGTTCGTAGATTTAATCAATGTATCCAACCAGCGCCACAATCATATACGATTCATGGCTTGTGGTCTCAAGATGGAGGGACCTCTGCACAAAATTGTCGGGGAACTTCCTTTTCGTCGGAACGGTAAAACTAAAACAACCAAATATCTTAAATTTTCCTTTATGAACCATGCATCGACTCTATTCTAACAATTCAACCTAGTGTTTAAACACTCACTACATATTTTTAAACTTAAAAGAAAAATTAATGGCTAAATATATATGTCCGTTAGAGCTAATATTGTTTTTATTTTTTTGCTTTAATTTTTTTCAATTAAGTCACTAATATTGATTAATTTATTTTAATGATGTGTTTTAGACATTTAGAAAATGATCTCAATAAAGTTTGACACGATATAATAAATTGAAGAAATATGAACTTTTGGGGTGGAGAGTGGAATAAGCATGAGATTTGCTTAGTGAGTAAGTTTAATCAAAACACATACTTTCAAATATCCATTAATATAATTAATGGTCTCGACCTTATTGTTATCCTCACACTTGCTAGGCTAGGGTCAAACCATAACACGAAGACAGTTGCAAGCGTGCGACATGCAATCAAAATGCAATATGAGGCAGAACTAGTTCTTCGTTGCAAAATAACTCATACACAAACCATATTAGTGGAGATTGTGATGTGTTTTGATGTAGATGAGTGTCAGTCTTATTGATTGCGATCATTCCAAATCCAATTGTGGTTACTTGTCCACATTTTAAAACTCATATGATGATGTATAAAAAATAAGATTTTTTTTAAGTACAACATGTAGGACGGGAGGATTCAAACTCATGACCTTCTGATCATACTTAAATGCCTTAATCTACTGAGCTGAGCTGAGTTTTACTAAAGTTGACAATTAAAATAAGTTGCTTTTTATAATGATAGTTTCTATAATGTTTTACAATTATTATGATTTTTAAGCTATAAATATAAAAGTTATTGTAAAACATTATAGAAACCATTATGGTAAACAACAACTTATTTCAATTGCCAACTTGAACAAAGCTCAACGTATTAAGGCATTTATGTGTAATGTTAGTCGTGAGTTTGAATCTTCCCACCTTACATGTTCTACTTAAAAAAAATCTTATTTCTTATACATCATCATATGGTTTTAAAAAATTGTGAACGAGTAACCACAATTGGATTTGGAAGGATCAAAATCAATAAGAGTGACACCATCTACATCGAAACACATCACAATTTCCACTAATAGGGTTTGTGTAGTAGCTATTTTGTTGTGAAGAACTGGTTCGGTCCCGAATTGCATTTTGATTGTGTATCGTACGCTTGCTACTGTCTTCGTGTTATAGTTTGACCCTAGCCTAGCAAGTCTGCAGGTAGCAAGAAGGTCGAGACCATTAATCATATCTATGGGATTTGAAAGTGTGCGTTTTAATTGAACCTACTGAGCAAATCCATGCTTATTCCACCCCACGCCAGAAGTTCATATTCCTTCCATTAGGTTGGACTGTTAGAATAGAGTGGATGCATGGTTTATAAAAGAAAATTTGAGATTTTGTTTGTTTTAGTTACACTCGCCAGAGCCCACGTGCATGCCCCCTATCGCCCACGCCTGTGTGCCACACCCTCTACCACCCATGCACGCGCCCACCCCAACACCAACCCCCTGCGCGCGCCACT